TGCAATATGCATAATCATCCAAAACAGGAATTTTTAGATAAACAGCAAAAAAAGAATGCATTGAAATATGTCCTCTTGCCTAAACCTGAGTAGATATCAATTAAGTGAGAAGAGCCTAAATCAAAAATCTTGATCTTATTTTCCTTCTTATATTTATCATATAGGGCATGCATGACATGGCAAACACTCCAAATGCAAAACTACACACCCATCTAAACTAACCACCAAGTAACATTCGTTAGCTCAAATATGTAAAGAAAAATAGGTGATCTATTATACATCTTTGCTATTTGGTGATAGGGAATAGGAAGGTTTTTCAATTAACAAATAGAAGGAAAGTTCATATGATCTCAAGGAAATGAAATGAAACCAACCATCCAACCACTGACACATATTTTGACATTTTATGATGAAAAATTATAAGTAATGGATCTATGTGGACAACCAATCAAGTAGTAATATACAACTATTTACAAGCTCTTGATTAGTTGTCAAATATATCTATGCTCCAACTACATCTACTAATTTATTTGTAATCTTGAGAGCTTCATGAAATATCTTGATTGGCTATACATTGAGTGAAAACAAGTTCTAAAGTCATGTTAGCATGAGGCTCGTCATCTTATAAATCTTCTACTTCTCTGATTAAAGTTTAAGGTTTAGGGGAGTTTTCGAATCATCATTAACAAAACTTAGTATTTTCTTTATAGGTGGGCTAATTGAAAGCTGTTTTGTTCTATAATCATGAACTATGCAACCAATGCTAAAGATTAAAAAAACTTCAATATTTCATATCTAATACCTAACACTTTAATATTTCATGCCTATCACCTATAGATAGCTTTAATATCAAATATTTCACTCATATATTTCAGTCCTACCATGCACCCATACCACCCTGTAAACTTTAATATTTCATTTATTGTTTTATATTTGATTTTTGGGTGGTAGGCATGAAATATTAAAGTTTTGAGTGCTAGATATGTAAATAGCATGATATAAAGTGGTATGTATGTAAAATCTCCCTTTTCAAAATCTTCAATACATAAAAGCACAACATAACTCTAATCACCTCAAAACTGAACTACCATATTAACCAGCCATCATTTATAATTACATTGACAAGCATTAATTAACTAAAACTAATACAATATATTGAAGGAAGGATAGATTAATTGAAAACAAATTCCATAAAAATCCCCAAAGAAGAAACAGGCGAACTCCACATAAGAATCCTTTGGTGAAATTGGAAGAAGACCATAGAAAATGAAATAGAGAAGACAAGAAGCATCTCTAAGAACTAAAATAAAGTGAAATACATAACCAAAAAAAAAAAAAATCATCATCATCATACTGCCGTACCTTTCTTGAATTCTTCAGAAAACCCTACATTGCAATAACTAGTTCCAAATGCTCAAAAAACTAGCTAGAGGGATCGAACTAAATCATACCAACATAGGAACAAGGAAGAGAGAATTTTCGATTTACCTGTGGTTTCGCTGCCTCGCATGAGCTCAAATTCGAGCGAGACGGAGGAGGAGATGTGAAGAAGGAAGCAGATGCACAGTTTGAAGAGGAGGCATGCGTAGAGGGAAAGAGAGAAGGAAAAGGAGGATAAATTCTAAGTGGATTTGGGAGACAATAGGAATGTTTATTAAAATTGTTATTTGTTTAGCCAATTAATAAATCATTATCATTATCTTAGATGTTACTAAAGAATAGTCGGTATCTTAAATATTATTTAAGAAATGTTTGAAGATAAGTTTTATAACTTTTTAAAAATAATTTAATAATTCATATAAATTCTTTTAAAATTGCTTAAAATTGATTTTAAATATTCTATTGGGCTTTGAAAATGTTAAGATTGAATTCATAATATAAAAAAAAAAAATGTTCCCAAAAAATCTAAAAAATGTTTGGGCAAAAAAGAGCTCAAAAACATGTCTCAGGAAGTTGGACTCATAATTGGAGAATATATTAATATAATGTAGTAGACATTAATTATATAAAATGAATTACATTGTGAAAGTATGATAAATTTTGATGCTTTGGAATTATCTTCGCAAAATTATTTGTGGCATGCTCAACCATTCTGTGGTGAGTGAATAGATCGAGATCAACATAGACTATGGTAGACAAAGTTGGTGTTAACGATGCATCAGCTTTATCTGCAATGGCATGCATTGATGTTGGGCAAAGTTGGTGTTTCGAGGACAATAGTCAGACAATGGATGTTTGAGGTCAATGTAGTCATATGACATTGTTCAAAGGATCATAATTGAGCAATAGTGTCCTTGGGACTGTTGGTGGACTTCGATGATCAGAGGACCTTAATCTAATGACGATGGTTTAAAGATTATAGTCAGGTGTTGGTAGTTAAAAGATTTTAGTTGGGTTATATAGGTCAAATGATTGTAATTGTTAATTGGATGTTAGGAGAGTGTGGTTAGATGATGGTACTTAAGAGATTGTAATAAAGCGATAGTGGTTGAAAGACTATAGTTGAGTGATGGTGGCATGAGGAAGGAAGTTAGAAAATGATGTTCAGAGGATCGTATTAGAGCATTGGTGGTTAGAAGACCTTAGTTAGGTGATGGTGGTTGAGCGGCGATGGTCTAGAGGAGGTGGGTCAAACTACGGAGGTAATCAAATATTGGCGGTAGGATGGTGGAGGTCGAACAATGATACTTTGACGACAGTGATCATGTGATGATGCTCCAATATGCTGGTGGTTGGGTGGTGACAACATGACAAAGCTGGTTGGTCACTAGTTGCCTGCAATTTGATTATGACGGTTCAATAATGATGTTGGATGCCAGTGGTTCGATGAAGGAACTCTCTCTAATTTTCTATCCATGCCATAACTCAAGCTCCATTTCCCCCCTTCATGTAGTGAATGTGAGTCTTGTTATAATTTTTTGAAGTATCACTCTTTACAAATATAACAAGAATTCAAAATGCTTCATCTGACCACCCATAATGTTTCTCTTGACTGTAGGACAATTCTTTTAGCAAACAAGCATCTTACTGACAGTATAATAAGCAATTTTGTGTTCACTGGATTTGCTTATCAATTGATTTGACTATAAAGCATGCAAAATTTGAGGTTTGTTTTATCCTCCAATTAATATCCCAAATTTTCTAACAATGCTTTAAATTATTTATAGGATCTCTTTTGAACTCTGATCAGATATCTTTTAGTGTTGATTAGTTCATATTGTCAAGATATTTAGTTCGTCTGTGAACTTGCTAAAATAAAAATTTGGAAGATTCCAATTTTTATTATAAAAATTAAGATGTGTTAAATAAAATAATTTTTTTATGAGGTATAGAGGATATTTCATGATTGAGATTGAATTCTTTGCATAGTAAAATAATTATGATAACCAGACAAAATCTCATACCCTTCTATCTATATCTCTTCATTTTTCTATTCAATCATTTATAAATAAACGTTATGTTTGGGCAGTCTATTCAAAACATCAATGTTGATGGCTATGGCAAACCCCCTATTTATGCTTTGTTAATGTTGTATGCTTATATATATATATAATGACTAAGAATATTAAAAGTTAATTTTGAGTAAAGAGGGGGATCAAAAGTGGGAGTTTGATAACTAACTTACTTGAGTTGATGGAAAAGATATCCAATTATGACTGTCAATTCATCTTGATGAGTCAAGTTCAATTTCGATTTGAATTTGACTCAATCCAAAATTGCTTGGCTCGAATTCATCCCATTTATCATACGAGTCAAAATTTTTGACCCAAACTCAACTTGACATAAACTCGTTAAATTTGTTTAACCCATTTTTTTATGTATTTGACCTGAAATAGGGTGTTGTCATCTTGAGGCATCATGGGTGAATGTCTTACTTTCCATAGCATGTCAGTTATAGTTCTAACATGTCGTCCATACAAGTTCAACTTAATTATAAAAAATAATGTCACTATGAGTAGATGGATGTTGGTCAGGTCTAACTTAGCTTAGTGTTGGGTGAATGAATATTGGATTAGGCATATAAGTGTTAGGTTTATAAGATGAGAGTTGATCCAAGAGATTATATCAGGGTTGGACAAATAAGAGGCGGTATAGTTTGCCTTGGACAAATGCCAGTCGTATGTCCTGGTTGGCTCAATCCTCACAATATTTCATATATGATCATTGTTTCAATCAGCAGTAGACGCGACTCGGTTATAACCTCAATACCTACGTCATTGCCCCAAGTGCAAATATAGTGGAGAAACTTGAAAGTATATATAAGAGATGCATGTAGTAAACTTTTCAGTTGGTATAGAGTATATGCGGTTGATAACAAAAGGGACAGGTGCAGTTGACAGGTTAAGTCAGATCTAAGGGATAAAATCATCATTCTAGCTAGATGGACTTGATTGAGCATGAAAAATAACAACGCACTGTAAGTGAAAAAGATAATGAAAAATTCAATTTTAAAAGGGACTCGTTTATAATTTTTTATTTTATTTTAGGTAGTAGATGAAAATGACTTATTAGTTTATTATATATAAACTTACTTCTAAAATAAATATATCAAAAATATTATTTTATCCCTACATATGTCTACTTCAAATATTTTTTAATAATTCAATGCAATGCAAAAAAAATCAAGGTGTCAGAAGCATACTATTTCATTAATATGCGGTGCGTTACCAAAGGGCAGCTAAGGCTTTCTTTTTTTCTACACGTGTCGGTGTTGCAGTTCTCAAACGCCGTTAGATCTGATCTATTACCTTTCTGCCCGCCACGGGTCGACCAGACACTGACACGCATTGGCGCAGTCAGACAACCCGACCCGACCCGACCCGATCACCGACCCAAGTAGCTTCGTTCAGTCCGGTAGCGCCCAAGGCCTTTCAGTCCGACGGCGGAGATCGCTCCTCAACCCTGCGTAGAAAGAAAGAAGACACTTGGACTTCCGATCCATCATCCATTTCTTTCGACTTCCGCTTTTGTAAAAACATTCGCAGCGTCTATTCGCTTTGGCGGTGATCGTACAGAGAGGAGAGAGAGAGAGAGAGAGAGAGAGAGAGTAGCGGCAACGCTTTGTTTGAGCGGGGATGGCGGAGCAGGCAGAGGAATCGATTCCGAGGGCGGAGCCGAGGTCGTTTACGGAGAAGATAGAGGAGAAGATTCATGAGCACAAGTCTTCCTCTTCTTCTTCCGATTCTGACAACGACAAATCGGAACACCATTCTTCTTCAGTTAAAAGCGGAATCCGACGCCTTTTCGGGAGGGAGAAGCCCGTCCACCAGGTCTTTGGTGGCGGCAAGCGTATGGATTGCTCCCACTTGTTATTTGTTTTCGTTTTAAAACCCTAAACCCATCCGAGTTTTTAGTCCAAGGCTTAAAGTCATAGGGGAGGATTGTATCTCTGCTTCTTTTATTTATTGTGTTTGCGTTTAAGGGATTTTAGGGGATTTGATGTTGGTTGCTTTCGTTTGTTCCTTGGATTTGAATGGATGCTTTATATTTTGGTTCCTTTGATCTCTACATGCGGGTTTTTAGTTTTGAGACTTCTATGATGAAGGCTTTATTTGTTTTGACCTGATTGAGTTATTAGGGTTTCTATGTTTTTCTGAATGGCATTTGTTGTTAATTCTTAAATGCTATGTTTTTGTAAAGTTCTTTCTTTTTTGGAACTTTCGCTGTCTCCATGTCTAGGTATTCACATCACTTTCATGGTGTATGGCAATTTGGACGTTTATCTCTGTTTGATTTAATTTTATTTTGATGTTTTACATGCTTCATTTGTTTGTCCCATCTTCCTGTACATATCAAAATGAATTTTGTTTTCAATGAAACAGAACTGTTGGTGCATTCCCAGAACGCATCTCTCACTGTTTCAACATACATTTTATACTCTGTTTTGTGGGTTACCACTTGATGTGGAAACTGGGGAAAAAATATCTTAGGGGAAGAGGGTAATTACTTTGTTGTGATTAAATACTAATAAGATGTCTTATATAAGGTGAAACTTATTTTTAAGTATAACTAACGAAGAAGAAAATTAGTTAAGCTTAATTGAAAATAAGATCATATCCTAGGAATTCTGTCTTCAAACAGTAGTAATTAAATTGTTAAAAATTAACGGTCTCTTTTGAATCCTAAGACACTTGGCACAGGTGGCATTCCTTTGATAATCTTTTTTAAATCTTTCTGGTAATTAATATGTGATTGCTTTATGACAACCACCATTGATCCGGCTTGTTTCATCACACAACCCTTGGTGTATTATCTACATGAGTTCATATAGTGGAAGTTTTTTTCCTATGTGATTGCACTTAATGACATATTGTTTATAGTGCTTGCATTATAACTTTGGCATACATGTCACATTAAGCTATGATGAAGGGAGCCATAGAGAGATTTAGGGAAGACATTTAATTGTAGTTCATTATGAAGAAGGTTGAAAATTGAGATTAGCGACAAAGGTTGCTCGTTGGGGATGAGGACAATAGGTAGGGAGTTGTGGAGTGACAACATCCAAGGGTAGGCATCAAGAGAGGAGGATGAAGATAAGGAATTTATTGATAAACACTATTATTGTTAGTTCTCAAATATTGTATAAGAAAAGTGGAGGGTTGTATTAGATAGTCAACAACCAGTATATCGAATAATTAATCATGACATGAATCATTTAATACATTGTATTAATACTAGGACGTTTTTTGGAAGCGACGTGCTGTATGAATTGAATATAGAGAGAAGTATTGAGGGCCGCTGCATCGGTTCCCAGGTGCAGTGTTAAACGGGCAAGAGTTCCCACATCATTGACGGATGTGGGCAAAGAAGCTAGTCTGTGAAACTAAAATTATGATAGGAACTTGGAATATAGGTTCCCTTACAAACAAATTAATGAAATTGATAGATATTATGATTCATATGAAGATAAATATTCTATGTATTTAGGAAACTAAATGGGTTGGAGAGAAAGTTAAGAAGATTGATAGTTTATGATGTAAATTTTGGTATTTTGATAAGAGTCGTACTAGAAATGATGCGTGTGATTATAGATAAGAGTTTGAAGAAAAATGTTATAAAAATTAATAAAATTGGTGATAGAATTGTAGCTTTAAAGATTATTATTTATGCTAAGATTATTAATATTATAAGTGCTTATGCTTCTCAAGTAGCTTTGGATGTATGGTTAAAATTAAAATTTTGGAATGATTTAAAAGAATTAATACAAAATATACCTTTTAAAAAAGAGTTTTTATTGGATGAGATTTAAATGGACATATTGATAGGGATGTAGATGATTTTAAAAACATTCTTGGTGGCTATGAGTTTAGTGGAACTAATGAATATGGTAAGACCATATTAGATTTTGCTATAGTTTATAATTTTGTAATACCTTATTTAAGAAAAGAGATGATCATCTCATCACTTATAAGAATGGATATATATTAAATTAGATTATTTTTTTATAAAAAAAAAATAGATCATTTAGATTAAGTAAAATTTGTTTTAGAATTAGATGAGGCATTTAAAGAATACTAAAAATATTTTTGAGAGTAAGATTCTATGTCTTATAATTTTATATGTGCACGAGGAAACTAATGTTATATGAGATAAAAGTAGCTAGTAATATCAATAATGTTGTAAAGTCTGTGCTTGTGGTATCAAAGGGAAAAAAAATTAATAGTAAAAATAATTGGTGGTGGAATTAAAATGTGCACTAAAAGATAAAAAATAAAAAATATTGTTATAAAAATTAGTTTATATGTAAAAATTATGATAATTGAAAAAGATATAAAGAGTCTCGCCAGGAGTCTAAGAAAGCAATATTCGATGCAAAGATTTTATCTTTTAATGATTTATATAATAGATTAGATACTAAGGATATATATATATCAACACTCCTATTTATGAAGATATGTAGTGTCAGACACGAAGGCATGCCTGACACGGTTGAAACATGCGTGATTAAAATAATATTAAAATTTAAAAGAACATGCATGTCGAACCTCACGTTAGGTTTTATCCCATATCCTTTCGTATTCGAAGTCTGCAAGCAGGGGTTTCATTTCCTCAAGTAGGTGAGTTTTGCATCTTCGTTTCTGCGAGTAGCAACGAGGCTTTTGCATTTTCGTCGTTTACGCGAGCAGGCTAGGTCGCATGAGACTTCATTTACGTGAACATGCGAGGCCGAATGACGGACGAAATCTTTATTCACGCGAGCAGGTGAGGCCGACAGAGCTTTTGGCTTCATCTTCTCAAGGTAAAATCTGTCCTTGCGTCTTCGTCTTCTTCGTGCAAATTTGCGTCTTCTTGCGGAACCATCTTTGTCAAAACATAATATTTTTTATATCGATTTGTTTGAAAAACTTTAACTTAAATTTCATGATTTTTTTTTAATGATATTAGCATTATATTTTTTCATGTTCATGACTCATTGTAATGTTAAACTCTAAACAATTAGACTATTAGACTATTATTCTTTATCATTTTAATGTTAAAGTTTATGTTTGATAGTATGGTTTTGAACCCTTTCAAATATTTATTTTAGTCTTGTTTGCTAATTTTCATGTAATCTATGCATTACTTACTTTGAAGCTTGCATGAACCATGATAATAAGCAACAAAATATTTTTAAATATAATTTGCTCTCTAATTTTTGTGATATTTGAAGTGCTGCATGCCTTATTGCAAAATCTTAATAAATATATTATCTTTTACAAAGTAGTTTGGATACATTTTTAATAACTTAAACAATTAAACTACTCAAGCATATATTATTGAGAGCTTAAGTATAGTTTAACCTCCTCTATTAGTCATTCCATCACAATCTTCCATGAGAATTTTGTCAATGGTCAATTACGTGCCTTCCATCCATGTCTTCATCTCTTTTGACTTGTTATATGCGTCCTTGAGATTCACTGCTCTAGAATTTGAAGCTTTTGCACCAGCATTTGATCTAATGCATTTTTTGGTGCATGCTTATTTCTCCAACTTTTAATGCTTTTTCTAGATTATGCATTATTAGTTTGCCTTAATAAAAAAATGGACTCATCCTAAGTTTGAAATTTTAGAACCAATCTTTCTAATCAAACAATAGTGACTGTATCACAACTTGGCATAAATGTTACTTAAGGTGTTGGCCTTGGCAACACATTAATAAAGATGCTCATCTATGAGGTATTCAAGGTGTTATTGCTTCACCTTGCATCTATTGGGCGATTGGTAGGATCTTGACTTTTAATAACATTGGTCGATGTGGATGGAGAAGTTAATGAGGTGGAGCGTTGGAGAAGGCAGCAATTTCGACGTAAATTTAATGAAGTAGAGAGATGGGAGTAAGGATTTCAATTTGGGTTCATTCATGATGATGACTCCACCACCAAAGCTAACTTAAATCTTACCAAAATGATAAATCTGATTCCTAATACAAAAATATTCAATCCTGCTATAAAAATATACGATTTTTGCCATGGTCTTCTTGCTCTACATCAAGGCACTAAAATGACCCAACATGAATAAATCAACTCGAGCCCAACCCAACTTGAGACAAAAAAAATACTTAAATTATTACGGGTTAGTTTCAACTCAACTTAAAATGGACAGGATTACTTGAATTGAATATGATTACCTGATGCGCACATGACTACTTGAAATAAGTGACAAAAATCACAATTTAATGAGAGTGATATACATTACGATGAATGTTTTTAACATCTTTTTCTGATAATTTTCTCATCTTTTTTAATTGTCTGCCTCTTTCCATGGAGTGGAAGTGAGGGGGGATCTTTGAAGTCAAACTATTTTTATGGTAAAATCCTTCCATTTTTCATTTTTTCTTAACACCTATCTTCAAATTCAGGATTCCGTCATTTATTTTTATCATTGGAATTAAATCTCATTGTGGACACTGAGAACGAGTGAGGGCTAAAAAGCGAGAAAGAGGGGAGATGTGGACTTGATTCTCTTATCGTGAGAATAATTGCTTGCCTCTTAACTTTGTTTTCAACTTTATCAACTTCATCATGCTATAGATTAACCTACTACTTTCATATTTTATGTAAAAACTACCTCTGAATGGAGAAAAAGTGTGTTATGAATTTAGAGGGCATTCATTATACTATTTTTTTTAGTATCTAGTTTCTTTCTGTATGATCTTTGAAACTAAGATTGCACATCTTCTGCTAGAAGTAATCGCACAATTATTATGAAATATTTGTGAGTCAACCATTTGTATTTTAAACAAGGAAGGAAAAAATATAGGAACTAACATGAAATATTCACTTTATCTATATATTTCACTTGCTATATTA